ATACAATTTCAAACACCAACTTTTGCAGGTGGTACTAATTCTACAGAGCTTGTCAATAATTCTCTCCGAGCGCAAATTATTGAAAAGGGGGTCATTACTTCTGAAGGTCCTGAGAACATGAAAACATTTAACTTCGGAATGGGTAAAACGACCAAAATAGCCTTAGATCGTGACGACTTGACTCCCTGGGGAGTGCGAAGAGAAAATAAGGATGGTGTGAAGCGAATTTACAAAGCCCTTGGCTTTGATAATGAACAACGAAGTAAGATAAAACTGCCCGCCATTGGTGCCAAGGGAGGTAACTATGAGAGCACAAACTACTTCCTAAGTAACCTCGAAGAAAGACTGCGTCAATTTCACCAGGAAAATTTAGACAGCCAATATAAATACACGTTGAAACTTCCTAGCCTGAAGAGATATGAGGAAATCGAATTCGAGGTAAGGACATTTAACAGACAGTCTTTGGATAGTTTTAGGCAATAATAAAGAGAAAAATTTCCAAATATTCTTCAATTTCCAGATGGTTGCCTAGGGTTACTTGCAGTTGGGCAGGATAAAATGTGATTTGTACATAACATCTTCACAAAAAAGTGTGTATATATATATATATATATATATATATATGTGTGTGTATGTGTGTGTGTGTATATATATGTATATACATGTATATATATATATGTATATGTATGTAATATATGTGTATATATATGTATGTATATGTGGTCATGTGTATGAGGTTTTTTGTTTGGATCTCATTCATTGTAATTCACTTATATGCTCTATAAAAATTATATTGAGCTCTTCTTTGTTGATCACTTTTATTATTTTATATTTATAGAATGTATTTGGATTATTTACGCACAGATTTTTTACCTATATATATATATATATATATATATATATATATATATATATGTGTGTGTGTGTGAAAAATATATAGAAAATAGGAAAGAACACGTTAGGTAAATAATCCAAAGTTCATTATTATTTTTGTTATTATTTTTTAAAAATGGTGCTCGATACAAAAGTAGAGCATAAATATAATTATTTATTTAAAAAAAATTATTTAAAAATTTTCGCTTGAAGATGGAACAGAGCTTAGTACTTTAATTCAATTTAATTCAAATAATTATATTGAAGTTTTCGGCTCTTGTTTTGAAACATGAGAACTCTTATGTAGCGTGTCGGAATCATATTTTTAAATAAATAATTATATATATATAACACCTATTATTTAAATGCAATATGTCGTTTATGGAAAACATATGATCGAATGATTTGCTTCTGGTCTATTCAATGAATTGAGTATTGGTTTAAACCTGTTGATAAAAAAGTATTTCTTTATTAATACGCTTGTGTCCAGTGGTTTTGTTTTCGTATTGTTAGAATGGGAAGATATTAAAATTTGTCAGATTTTGTCCTCCGGATTTTTCTATATGTTGGTTAAGGGACATTTTTCTGGTGTGGGATATCCTTAATTTGTTGACAATGAACTGTCATGTTTTGTTAGTGTCTGGCCAGTTTGGCAAATGTAATGCTAGTGGCAACCTTTGATTGTTATTTTCTATATTAAATTCTACCAGTTACACGATAAATAATTTCTAATTTTAAATTTGGATCTGCCTTTGAAGCCAAATTCCTGATAGCTGCATACTCCGCAGAGGGGTTGGTTGCATCTTTTCACCTGGGGCTCTTTAATTGTGGCCTGCAGTTTTGCATTTCGTATCTTTTTTTAGTGATTTTGGCTGTAGTTTACATTTTATGATGGGGTATTTTTGTAATAGGTCTTTCATTTTATTCTTTAGTAGGATTGGTAGATTTATTTGTATATGTGTGTAGACCTCAGTGTTTTTTGGGTTGAAGTTGAGATATAAGTGATGACCTTTTTTGTTTCTCGGAGTGTGTGGATATTAATTTGTTTTGCTTTTGCAATGCTATTGTTCATTAAACTTTGAAAGTATTTTCTCTTGGTGGGTATTTTTTCATCTCTCCTAATCTGTGATCTCTTGTCTTTGAGACTATCATACAGATTCGCTTGGCTAAGTTGAGTGAGAAGTTGTTACGGGTGTGTTTTAGATGGGAAGATATTAAAAGGAGATACTGTCGAGAATCAGTAGGTTATATATATATATATATATATATATATATAATAATAGTATATATATATAAGCATAGTTATATATATATATATATATATATATATATATATATATATATATATATATATATAAGAAAGTTTGATGAAAACGAACCGATAAGATGTTGAGTATTGTAATGAAAGTTGTTGATAAACTGTCCGAAATTCATATTTTGTTTTTTTTTGTTTAAATACATTCGACTTTCTTAGTTATTATCAAGAACCAATTTGGTGAGTGAAACATAACGGAATTGATTTTAAGGAAAAAGAAAAATTATGTAATGTTAATGACAATTCATGCAGTATGCCTTGTATGCCAAACAAATAATGTAACAAGGATTTTTTAATCTCTCTTGTATGATGATTCTTTCTCTTTTAATGTCATTCTCAGTTTTTTTCCGCATTTCGTTTTGCTTTCGTTCTTGAAATTTCTCAAATGAAAAACACTTTTTAACTCTGCCTGTGTCATTGCAATCGTCATAGCTGAATGCTGGCTTTCGTTCCATAAAACTGACGACATTTTCAATAGCTTTTTTCAATTTCAGTCCAGGTTTCATCACAATCATGTTTTTTTCATTTCCTTGTTCATTGTGAACGTTGGAGAATAGTTTCTTTGGAAGATTTTATATCATACAATGTTGACTTTCCTATGTTGAACTCAGCCATTAGTTACAATGAACTTTCCCCAGCGTCTAGTCTGTTGAAATTTTCCACTTTTTGTGATAAATCCAAAATTGTTCTTTTCCTCTTATTCCCATCATCTTTTGCACCAATACAAGCCATTTAGGGTGAAATAAGCATAAGCAATTATCCAAAGTAATTTTTCTGAAAAACAGAAATTTCAGATCAGTTACATATCACCCAAATTGTTCAAATATACACATCAAAATATGTCCGGATATGAAGTACTCAGGATATGAGGGATTCCGGATACGAGGAATTCTACTGTATTCAACAAATAACTTTGTTCATATGATCAGGACTAAGATCAACTAGAGCTTTAAATAAATTCCCAAATAGATAATGCTTTGCATTAAAATAAATGTTATTAAGGAAACCTCCATCCATACTGGAAAGATCTATAACAGCTACTAGACTTAAAAAAACCTGGTTTCCTAAAAAAAAGTCTTTTACGAGGGAGATTTTATAAATTTCAACCGAAAGAGAAAATAATGACATAATCTAGATGTTGACATTCCACACTCCTTCAAACAAAAGGTTAGGAAGAAAACCTCCTTCAATACTAGAAAGAGCGATAACAGCTACTGGACTTGAGAAACCTGGTTTACTAAAGAGATTGATTTTACAAATGCAAACCGATAGCAATACTGTCAATGAATGCTAAATGTTTCCTGGTATCAACATTACCATTACCAATGTGTCTTTGGATTTCACTGTCGTATTTTCCGTTCTCTGTTGAAACATTTCCCAGTTATTTAAATTTTGTACTTGATTTTGGTATCTCCAATTTGTCATTCGCATGTTGGGCTCTTCCTGTTGCTGACAACCATGTATTATGTCTTTTTATAATTGATGTTTAGTCCTTTCTTCTGTCTGTCATTCACTACCGTCTACAGGAGTTCCAGTAGTTTCACTTCTGTGTCTGGTATCAGTACTCCGTTGTCTGTATGTTTAATGTTGGTAAGATTGTGTCCGTCAATAATAAATGCTAGGAAGATTTATCACTTGTATTTATAAAAAAAAATGGTAAATATAAAATACTTTCTAACAAAGAAAAAGAAAGACGAAAGTGCTCCTAGAAAGCCATTGTTGCTGTATGAAGTGATAGGTGAATAAAATGGTGTTTAATTTCCCTGCAATAAAGATATGCAAGCCTGGAGAATAGGTTTTGGGGAGTCGATCATTTCCGGATTATCGCAAAAGAAGTCTCGATAATGTGAAACTTCATGGCATAGATTCAGCAGGAGAGAAAGCGATGAAGAGAGTAAGTGCTGGAAGGAGAAAGAGTGGAGAGAGAAAAAGATGAAGAGAGAAAGAGATGGAGATGGAAAGAGATGGAAGGAGAAAGAGAGATTAGGAGAGAAAAAAAGAGAGAAAGAGGTCGTGAGAGAAAGAGATTGACGGAGAAAGAAATGGGGGCGAGAAAAAGAAGGAGGGAAAAAGAGATGAAGAAAGATACGGAGAGAGAAAAAGATGATGGAAAAAAAGAGATGAAGAAAGAAAGAGACGGAGAGGGAAAAAGATGGAGATGGGAAGAGATGGAAGGAGAAAGAGAGATTGGGAGAGAAAAAAGACAGGAAGAGATCCTGAGAGAAAGAGATTGAGGGAGAAAGAAATGGGGGAGAGAAAAAGATGGGGGTGCGAAAGAGATGAAGAAAGGAAGAGACGGGGAGAGAAAAAGGTGAAGAGAGAAAGAGATGGAGATGGAAAGAGATGGAAGAAGAAAAGGAGATTGAGAGAGAAAAAGAGAGAAAGAGATCGTGAGAGAAAGAGATTGAGGGATAAAGAAATGGGGTAGAGAAAAAGATGGAGGGAAAAAGAGATGAAGAAAGAAAGAGACGGAGCGAGAAAGAGATGGGAAGTGAAAGAGATTGAGGGAGAAAGAAATGGCGAGAGAAAAAAAAATGGAGGAAGAAAGTGATGAAGAAAGAAAGAGAAAGAGATTGGGAGAAAAAGAGAGAGGGAAAGATAAAGACATGACGAGAGAAGTTAATTGAGGGAGAAAGAGATGTAGAGGAGAACGAGATGGGAAGAGAGACCGCTTAGGTAACTGTAATAGAAATCTCATATGCTTAAAAAACCTAATTCCAAACAATTCCTCTTGGAGGAATTCGCATTAAATTCTTTACACTTCTTTGATCTTCAATAATCTTTTGGTATTTGCAGGTAGACGGTGAAACGTATGGCGGACCAAGACCGGGGGGCAAGGTGCTGATACGGAAGAGGAAATGTCGTTACCAAGGTTTCTTTGCGCATGTCAAAGACCACCAGCACATTCACTATCACATGGTGGATTCAATTCCAAACTTACCGATTATTGATCCTTATAGAAGAACCAGGAATATGTAAAAAAAAAAGAGTGAAAATATTGCATTACGACATACAGGCTAACAAAAAAAATGTAAAGAATTGGAGATAATTCTCTGAAATAAAGGATTCTACTTAGCTTTAACAATATCTATCTCAGTCTGTTCATAGCTATCTATTTATCTCAATCTCTTAATATGTATCTATCTCAGTTTGTTCATATCTATCTATCTATCTATCTATCGTAGTCTATCCATATCTATCTATGGCAGTCTATTCATATCTATCTATCTATCTATCGTAGTCTATCCATATCTATCTATGGCAGTCTATTCATATCTATCTATCTGTCTATCGCAGTCTATTCATATCTATCTATCTCAATGTGTTCATATCTATCTATCTATCTATCTATCTATCTCAATGTGTTCATATCTATCTATCTATCTCAATGTGTTCATATCTATCTATCTATCTCAATGTGTTCATATCTATCTATCTATCTATCTCAATGTGTTCATATCTATCTATCTATCTCAATGTGTTCATATCTATCTATCTATCTCAATGTGTTCATATCTATCTATCTATCTCAATGTGTTCATATCTATCTATCTATATCTCAATGTGTCTCAATGTGTTCATATCTATCTATCTATCTCAATGTGTTCATATCTATCTATCTATCTATCTCAATGTGTTCATATCTATCTATCTATCTATCTCAATGTGTTCATATCTATCTATCTATCTATCTCAATGTGTTCATATCTATCTATCTATCTATCTATCTGTCGCCAGTTTGTACATATCTGTCTATCTCCAGTCTGTTCATATCTGTCTATATATCTATCTACAGTCAACGACGAAATTATTCGTACACTCATCAATTTTGAATATTTATATCCATTGAAACTGATGCGCCCAGTCAGAACTGTACCAGTTGAACTACGTGAGTAACTTTCTGACCACAGCTTTCGACCGCCATTTGTTGGATATTACAGCATCTAATATCTTCCTGGGCTATTTAATGTCAAACCTTTTATGAGGCACCGAATGAGGATCGATCTTCACTCTTCAGTAGGAATGGTCAACCAGGCTGGACTCGCTAAACATTAATCCACGGTGAGGTGATCCGCGCATAAAGATAGGCGACTTCAGTATTTATTAAGTTGAAGTTTGATAGAAGAAAATCATCCCACTCAATAATCATGCAATGACCCAGGAGACCCTGAAGTATTTATCAAGATTTATTTTACCCCACTTGTTGAACGATTCTGAAGGTTTGAACTGAGAAAATTTATGATGATCTGCAAGACAAGCTTACCATTGCTCTACGGCTGGGATTCCAGAAATGTATAAAATTCATTAGGCACATTCAAAATAGGAGATCTCACAGTTATGATCTATCTTAATCTGTTCATATCTATCGATCTATCTATCTATCTCAATGTGTTCATATCTATCTATCTATCTCAATGTGTTCATATCTATCTATCTATCTCAATGTGTTCATATCTATCTATCTATCTCAATGTGTTCATATCTATCTATCTCAATGTGTTCATATCTATCTATCTATCTATCTATCTATCTCAATGTGTTCATATCTATCTATCTATCGATTCATATCTATGTCAATCTGTTCATATCTATCTCAATCTGTTCATATCTATCTCAATCTAATCATATTTTTATCTATCGATCTATCTCTCACCAGTTTGTTAATATCTATCTATCTATCTATCTACAGCCAACGACAAAATTATTCGTACACTCAACAATTTAATATACTTATCCATTTCTCAGAATCTAATGCCCGTATGATGCCAGGTTTTTTATATGTTAATAAGCACAAAAGAGGAATATAAAACTCAATTCTCAGAAGAATACGTTAAATACAACAAATTTGACAGGCAAATTATGCAAAATAGGAAAAGACAAAATTATTCATAAAGTAGAAATATAATTTTAAATTAATTGATTCATGTACGTATAAGTAATTTGCATAATTATTATATCAGTGAAGACTTCTAGACGATTTATTCAGTAGAATATTTGTGATAATTTCAGCAAAGAACATCACGTGGTGCATAGAGTATCACCATTGTTATTCTTATGTTAACAACATAATTAGGAGGACAAAGGAGCTTAGTGTTGACTTGAGACAGAGAATTGTTAACTTCCACAATTCGGGGATTAGCTATCCCTAGATCTATGGTACTCTTCGTTATAAAGAAGTTTAAACAGTTTGACACGACAGGGAATTTGCCTGGGCGTGGAAGAAAACCCAAACTGTCACCGAGAACTGCACGAAAACTGTGTCGCGAGGTTAATATAAACCCAAGAGAAAGACATCGCCAAAAGTTTGGATACGATGGGTAACAGTGTAAGTACTCGCACAATACAACGTTGTTTAAATAGAAATGGGTTGTATGAAAACCGGCCACGACGAACCTCTCTTCACAAACAATGTCACATTGTTGCTCGGTTTAATTTTGTCAAAACGTTCTTGGACGAAGAAAATGGCTTCTTGGAACAATACTATGGAGTGATGAAACAAAAATTGAGCTTTTTCTTTTTAACATATTGATGTACAGAAAATTTGAAGCAAGAAAATGTGACGCTTTCCTACTAAAGAACATAGCGGCAGCATTAAAACATGGAAGCGGGTCGATGATTTTTTGCGGGGTTTGTTTTATCTCAAGGTGGACTCGGACAATTAATTGCAATAAAAGGAATAATGAAATCTGTAGACTATATCACGATTTTGGACGATTTTGGACGAAAATCTACAACTGTCAGAGCAAAATCATCATATAGATCGGCGATTTACTTTCCAGCAAGATAATGATCCCAAACATACGTCTACATCAGTGATTGGCTGGCTTCAGAAAAAGAAGATAACAGTTCTGCCATGGCCTTCAATGAGTCCTGACTTGAATCCTATTGAAAATCTATGGCAAGAATTGAATGTTCGAATAAATCGTCGGCCACCAAAACTCTACAGGAATTAGAACATGTAACCATTGAAGAATGGAAGAAAATCCTAGAAAAGCATTGTTCAAATCTTATCAAAAACTTTAGAAAACGATTGCAGTAAGAGAGGCAATGCTATTGACTATTGATATTGGGAAAATTGTTCAATTTTTTTCTATTTTTCATACTTTACAAATAATTTTGTCTTCCTATTTTGCATAATTCGTCAATAGCTCTTTATTTCTTTTTTCTCTATATATTTCGTTCATTCTTTCTTCATTTCTTTTTTTTATCATTCTATTGTAATGTAAATTGAATGAAACGATGAATAGAAAATTGTGCTATTCTCCTTATATTTGATTTAATCGGATGAATGTGTTCATATTCGTTGTCATAGTTACAACGATCCAGATAAGTCTGAGATGACGAATTACTTGCTGTTTCATCCATTAGTTAAAATGGATTCCCTCCTGAACAAAAGCATGTCTAAATTCAGCAACGCTGGTTCGTATTAGCCACTGTATAAGGATATATGAAAAGTTTTGACTATAGCAATCAAGATTGGGACACTCCATAGAAGAAATCCGTGTATAATAAAGGTAATTGCTCATCACTAGAAGTAGATGAAACATTCTGATAACAAACAAGATAAAGACACCATTTTGAATCAATCAGTGTCTGATAAGAATAATTCCTTGTCTTAAACATTGAAACAAAATTTTGTAAAACTCCAAAAGACGCTCGTGAGCGAATTTAATCAGAGACTAAAGGATATAAAGGTAAAGCTATTGTAATTAATGAACTAAACGAATAAAAAAAAATCAAATCCGCTTTCGACGTAATTAGTTTTAAGAATTAAAATGTAAATTTCGCTTTGTTGACTCCAGTTTTCTTAATTACTAACGAAATATATTCAATTCGTTTAACATAACGCCATTTGACAACACGGAAAAGCAACATTTCAAATACGGAGATTGTTTTGATCGCATATATGCTTAACAGAATTTGTAGCAAACATTTTATTTCAAATCAAATCCTCTTTCTTTTACATGTCATTCACACAATATCAGAATAAATCACATGTCATTCATACAATATCAGAATAAAAAAAATAACTACGTTAATATGGATATACGAAGTCTGATAAAATAGTGATCTCCTTCGAAGTAGCCCCTCGTCAGAAGCCACACCCTTTATCCAGCATCGTTTCCATTTATAGAAGCATTCTTGGAACGCTGTTTTTGAGATAGCGAGCAGCTGCCTCGTCGAATTCTCTTGGCTTTCCTCGACGTCTTAATTTCTTTCATATGGGTCTATATTTCTGAGATGAGGTATTATGTATATTATTTACATTATTCGGACTATTGTCCTCATCTATGTCGCCATATTTATTACAAAGTTTCGGCCTTTCAGTATCTGTCTATATTTCTGAGAAGAGGTATTATGTACATTATTTACATTATTCGGACTATTGTCCTCATCTATGTCGCCATATTTATTACAACGTTTCGGCCCTTCAGTATCTGTCTATATTTCTGGGATGAGGTATTATGTACACTATTTACATTATTCGGACTATTGTCCTCATCTTTGTCGCCATATTTATTACTGTGTAATAAATATGGCGACTGGTTTGCGGGTCTGGAAAATATTGTGCCTGGCCATCGACTGGCCAAAAACTGCTGCAAGAGTCATGTTCACACCAATTCAGTCGGATTTAGATCCTAGCTAGAGGCAAACGGATGTCTAGCCACATTGAAGAGCTGTGAAACAGCGAAACAGTCTGTCTGTGGATGACTTCATATATATATATATATATATATATATATATATATATATATATATATATAATAATATCCAAAATCACGTCAATTGGGTAATATTCTTATTTCGACGGACGAAAAAATAAAATTCGTCCGTTTTATTCAACGCCTTTATAGACCGAATTCGTGTCGGAATAAGAAATTTAACTGTGAAAGTTACAATATATATATATATATATATATATATATATATATATATATATATATATATATTTGTAACTTTCACAGTTAAATTTCTTATATATATATAAAAAAACGAATACAGAATTTATCCATTTCAATGTTTCAGTCAGACGAAATACACGCGACAGGGGAGGGTGGAAGGTATTTGTCTTAAAGGGAAGAGGTTTTATAAATTTAAACCCGCATATTAACCGTATGATATTAAATTGAGGTTATATGAAGAATGAAATGTTAATTTAAAATAAGAGAAGAAAAAATGTGGGTTAAAAACACTTAAAATATATAGATAAACTTATCGTTAAAAATATAAAATCATACTTAAAAGTACAAAGCCATATTCTAAAAAGGTTATACAGTGTAACCCGGATATAAGAGAAACCCGGATATAAGAGAAACCCGGATATAAGAGAAACCCGGATATAAGAGAGATTTTCTCCGGTCCCAAAGTGTTCCCATACTTACCTAAACAAAATAGACCAAACCCGGATATAAGAGAAACCCGGATATAAGAGACTTCTTCACCGGTCCCGACAACTCTCTTATATCCGGGTTACACTGTATTTAAAAATAAAATATATTTAAATAATATATATTTTAATCATAATATATTTAATAAATAAAAACAATTCTAATAATAACATATTTTAATGATATGAGTTAATATACAATATTAATATATTTAATAAATAATATATATTTAATAAATAATATATATTTTAAAATATATTTAAGTATTTTAGAAATTCCAAAAAACAAGTTATATTTAAAAATAAGTCATATTTAAATAATTTTTATTTAAAAATATTTAGAATATATTTAAAAATAAGTTATATTTAATGTAAAATAAATATGTTATATTAAAGAATAAGAATATATCTAAAAATAAAAAAATAAAATAAATTATACATTTAAAAATAAAAAATATAACGAAATAAATTACAATAAAAAAATATGCAAAACATATCACTCAACACGAAATTTCTAAAATCGTATATAAGTATAGTAGTATAATGACTTTCTAGAGATTTTTAGAACTTCCTGGTACCTTCTAGAATTTGTTTTTGTTCATTTTCAAGTTTTCATGTTATACTATAGACAATAAACAGTCAAATGCGTTAAACGTACAGACGTTTCTATCTAATTCGATTATTAGCAAACTGAAAAAAAAAAGCTTCTGAGATATTTTGATTTTTGATTGGTAAAATCGAATGTTTGATTTGGGGGGGTGATGTTTTTCAAGAACTAAAATAGATTGATGCATTTTTCATTACTTTTGAACAAAAAGTTCATCGATTTATCACACAGAAATATAGGGTTGCAAAAAGTCATAATCCTAATATATATATATATATATATATATATATATATATATAAGGCAGGATGTGTGTGTGTGTATGGGTGTGTAACGAATGTAAGTCAAGTGACAGCGATTGCTGTATGAGCCATACGATTTTTGAATCAAGTACGGGCAACGCCAGGCCAGGCTGCTAGTATATATATATATATATATATATATATATATATATATATATATATATATATAGTTGGAGTCAAGCACCTTTTTACCGGAGCACACCCGGCCAGATATGCAGTAAAAACCTGGGATTAAATAGAGGATTAAAGAAGAACTTGGTATTAACTATAGTATTTAAAAAATCCGCTATAATTATTGCAGTCTGAAAAAAATCAGGAATTATTTACAGTTTTTTATATAACCCAAAAAATAGACTGTGGGAATTAATGGGTTAAAAGTGAGAAGAATTTTCGATTCGACATGTAACAGATCAATCAAGCTAACATAATCACATGATAACGTAAAAATAACTATTTTCTCTACTGATTAAGCAAAAGCTGTTACAATCATTATCAGCCTTGACAAGAGTGACTTATATTGGCAATTTGAGCACAAGATTTTATCGAATTCTTATCCCTGGTTTTACTGGCAACAAATATTTTATGATTTTTTTTCAATATATATATATATATATATATATATATATATATATATATTAAAATATTGAAACCAGCCCTTAATAAAATTAATTATGAATATTGCACAAATGTTTTAAAATGTTTACCGTAGATAGTTTAAAATATCTATTTTTTTTTTAACTAATAATTTTAAAATTTTTTATTTTTTAAAATATTTCAGCATTTCAATAACTTAGTTACCTCCCATGACATTTGCATGTGAGCCTCCATTACAACATTTAAAAACAGTACTTAACCATAGCGCTGTTTCACTTCAAGATTAAAGATTTAATTTTCAGATGAAGACAACAATTTTGTCTTGGAAAGATGATAAACGCAACATCTTTTTGTCTTAGAAAAAACAAGACACTGATGACGACATCGTGCTAATGTCGAAAGTATTCAGTATAAAATGAATATATATCAGTATGGTAATATTATTTCTCCCTTTAATAAGGATACTAATAAATTTGTTTGTAATTACGATAGGATCCTATTAAAATATGTAGACAAAACTTGTCTAAAGTATTTAATGAGACATTATTTAATGGGTGTTGTTCTGATGATAACTACACATAGTTTTTCGCCTTATTTAAATGTAATATACAGAAAAATATTCGTGAATATGAAAGGATTATGATAAAATAAGCAGACATAATGTTTGTAATTTATTCGAACAGACATGCCTTAAAGAGAATTTGCTGCCTAAATACACAATTGTATATATATATATATATATATATATATATATATATATATAGGCAGGATGTGTGTTTGTGTGTAACGAATGCACGGCCGCAATTTTCAAAATTTACATGCACATGCTCCAAGTTAGCGGGAAGGCCAAGACTGAATTTGCATTTCTCAACTCCCATCGATATTGGAAATAATCGATTTTTTCATGCTTCTATGATAGTTTTCATGTAGTTTGCGGTCACTGAGAGCCTATAGCTGGCTGTCACGAATAGGCAGGAAGATTCTATTGGCCATCGTGAGAGCCAACAGCTGACTGACACGAATGTTACCTAGCATGGTAGCATGCAAAAAATCGTTAGCTGCATTCGTCACAAGTGTGAAAAATTTAAATCTTCATGGCACTTTACTCCAATTGGCTGATTCGCTTGCTTAAAATCAACGTTGATTCTGATTCCGCAGAACTGGGTTGGGTGTGAAAAAGTATTTGTTGTTAACATTCTTTTTTCATTCGGTTTTTCCAGTTTGTGTTCATTTTGTTATTTCTTTTTTAGTAATGTTTAGTATAGAGCTTAGAAATAATTCGTAGTGTGAGATAGGCAAGAAGTAAGGCATGTAGCAACATCAGCACGGCAAAGGGAACTCCTTTAAAGGCAAGGAAGGGCAAAAATATTCAAGTCAAATGATAGCGATTGCTGTATGAGTCGTACGATTTTTTAATCAAGCACGGGCTACGCTGGAGCATGCTGCTAGTGTATATATATATATATATATATATAACAAAATAGTAAGAAACAGAAAATTATCCCTAGGAACAAAGGCAAGAGTCCTGAACACCTGAACCGCTATCAATTCTCTTATATGGCAGTAAAAACTGGAGATGAAGAGAGGGACTTGAGAAAAAAAAAAGTGATGTCGTCCTACATTTGAAGACACTATTGACGGAGCATGTGTTCAATTTGGGCATTTTAAAGAAAAGAAGTAAAAAAGTATTCTTATATTTAGAATCAGAAAGAGTGAGAGACAGAGAGTTGAAATTTCTGGAACACATAACACAGAAAGAAAGTTTGGAGAATTTGATACTCACAAGACATTGAAGGCAAGAGAAACAGATGGAAATATTGAGTTACCTACCTAACGTGTTTGCGTAAATGGATTGCAGGTCAAGGAGTAGGAGGGAGAAACACAAATATTACAATAGGCTAAAAAGAGTAGGAAGTTGTGGAGAACCATGATCACCTATCCCTGAAGAGACAGAAGGAAACAGGGTCTAACCTATCTAAAAAGTTTGTGTAAATGGATGTCAAATCAGGGATTGGGAATTACAGTGAAAAAAAAAAACATAGCTAATAGCTCGAAAGTATCGGGTGTTGTGGAGAGCCATAATCGGTCACATCCTGAAGGGACATGTCATATAAAAGAAAAAATGATTGGCATGTTATAGTCAATCTTTAAATTTTGCCCAATTTTTGAGGTTACACACGATTTCTTTAACTAAAACAGGCAAGCAAATCAAATAAATTAACCTTTTCAAAGCTTTTCATCGAACTTAAGCAAGAAAACGCTGTAGCGTCCAGACAACCTAAAATGGAAGTTGCTAATCAGAGGAATAACATTCATTACTCTCAAATTTAATCATGCACAGTAGGGCAAAGTTCAATCTTTAATCTCTTGATGTGAATGAGGTAGACACGATCGTCTGTTTGGGAAAAGAATGAAGAAGGAATGGAAGAAATTCAAAGCTGAATAATAAATCCGAATCGATTCAAGAATCGGACTTTACCTCTCTGGAAATTTACGTGATAAATGTGAGATAGTAAGATCTTGAGTCAATATTAGCAAATTCCAGGTTTTAAACTATTCTTTACTGTTTCTTTTGTCTATGTCCTCTAGCTTTCTTCAATTCTATCGAATTGGCCTTCGTTAATTTTATCACGGTCGAATTTAACACTGGGGATTCTTGTCTCTTTCTTTCTTTCTTTCTTTCTCGCGAGATATTGTCTATCGTCCTTTTTCTGCTTTTCTAGTTCACTTTCTCTCATTTTTCAGATATTTCTTTGTAACTCTTTCAATTCTTCTCAAAATTCTTTTTGCCATGACGTTTTCTTTCATACATTTTTCTTGTACTTTTCTATTTCTTCTTTCTTATTTTCCATTTCTTTCGTTTGTCTACTGTTTTCTTTGATCCTTAAAGATTTTTTCTTTCATTTTCTTCTTCTTCTTCTTCTTCTTCTTCTGCTTTACGAAGTCCTTTTTCTTTCTTTCACTTAGAGTATTTAAATTCTTCATAGAAATCATTCTTTTTTCTATAACAGTATTTTTCATTCTTCACCTTTTTCTTTCTTTTTGTTTTCTTTAACTAAGACCCATTGTATTATTCTTATAAGTAATTCTTTCTTCATAGAGGGTATTTTTTTATTCTTTTCCTTTCTTTTTTTTTTCTAATCCAAGCAGCCTTTGTTGGCACGATTGTTTCTCCTGTAAAAAGGCGACACAAGTTTGGATCCAGGCGGAGGGTGACTTTCCTTTAAAAGTCTTTCTCAATCGTTCAGGCCGGTAGACGAAATAAAATACCGTTGAAAATACTCAAATATGAGTATCCACTGAAAATAACGTTTAATGAAATATATATATATATATATATATATATATATATATATATATATATATATATATATATATATATATATATATATATACACACACATTTCATTAAATAAAATAGAAAAGTCTATTTATTTTATGTAAATTTTTTTAATAACGTCTGATAAGTTTAATAACATTATCATTGAACGAAGAAAGAAATTCACAATATTGATCCATATTTTTTTTAATACAATCTAAGCTTTTGGCTTACATAGGCCATTATCAAAGATGTCAATTACAACATATTAAGCAGTATATACACATTAGTACGTAAAAAATTTCAACTGACGAAAACTTCGTCAGTCTTATTCAACCCCGGCATATAGATTGCTAATTCCGACACGAACTCAGTCTATTGAATAAAAATGTTTGAAATAAAAGAAAACTCATGATATTTAAAATATATATGTAACACTTGTCATCCTCCATACTTTGCCTAGATTTTAAGGCAAACTTGATGAATATTTATAAGCGTTCTTAAATGTTACAAAACTGAAAAAAAAAATAACATTCTTGCTCCTGTATAAAAAATACTTGTTACAAAATAAAATCCTTGCATTTGCGTTGATAAAGTCTCAGAGGACGAAACGATACTAGACGAGGTACCCGACGTTGTCCGTGTGGACATGGCTGTAATTGTATAATCGCACTCTCCTGTCTAGAAATGTCTGACTGTGTCGCCGCTTGCATGTATCATCTGTTGGTACACTAAGTTACTAGCCCTCACTTTCATTTTTTTTCATGTTATGTCCTTCACAACTGTTTGATTGTTCTTAATAAAGGAATTCCATCGATAAAAACTTCTTGTATGGTCACTGCTCATTGTTAAATTATTTCAAAATTTTAGATATTCCGTAAATTTCCTATGGCCGTAATCACTTTCAAATAGTATGGCATTGTTCACAAATATAAGAATCAAACAAAAACAGTGTTGAAGCTTCAGATCTTGATTCAATTGCAAGTGCAAACGCATGGCCCCCTCCTTCTTCGCAAGTTTACTGTAAAGCTTGGGTTAATACGTTTTTTTTCGAATTTTTTTTATCCCTTTTAGCGCTTCAATAATCCTTCTCAAACAATCTTTTCATCAAAGGTTGTTCGAATGCCAGTTTAAGATGGAATCATATGAAGAATCAATTTATATGGTAAAAGCCGATTTGGGACCTAGTTTGTCGCAGATTTCGTCCACTTAAATGAAATAATCTAAACCAAACATACACAAGGCAATTTGTATGTCATATGCAATTTACATGGCAAATCTGGAAAGCATCGACTGAAAAAACCAGGGTGTTATGGTAAAAAAACAAACATTTTTCCTGGGTTTTTCGTCATACGCCAGTAAGTGAGCAGGATTTAAATCATACTATCTTATTGCTTGCATGATGGGAAGATTTTTGAGCCATGTTTGAAGAAAATCGGATAAAAACGAGGAAGTCATTCAAGTTTTTATCTTAAGTAGTACGAAAATCCTGATTTGTTTTTCACTGTTTTTTGCAATTTTTTTGTGTGAAGCCAGTGTCACAGGAAAACTATCAAACACTCTACATGAGCTTTGTTTTGCATTAAGTGCAAAGAACATCAGCTCATCCAGTAAATATTTTGTTCGTGTGTAACTTTGCTTGGGTTTTTGCAAAAAAGTCGTACTCACCTTCAGTTTTATCGATTTTTCAGCCAAACTTGGGGGCCTGTAGATTGAAAAGTTGTTCTTGACATAGCTTAGTAAATTTGCAACATGTGTTTGCAATTTCATCGAAATTTGTCACGAAATGTGTATCTGCATAAATAGAATACACACACAAACAGAGACACACAGATATTGTTTTATAGATACGTAACAGCCATGCCGATTTGGTCGATCAGAAAAAGCGTTCAATTAGAATGCAGTAAAAACAGCATCATGTTTAGATGTAACAGAGTCTAACTTCTTCAATTACTTTAAAGTACTTTCATGAAAAAACATTTTGAATTAATGCAGTTACTGATATAACAGAAGTTGTCGGCATTTATTCAATCGAAGTTAGCCGAAGACATGAAAGGTTAAAACAGGCAACATGAAGACCCACTTTAGATCACAATTACTTTAAAGTTTTTGAAATTCAGTTTTTCAGTATGGTACCAAGGATGTAAAAAAGGATACATTTATAAAGTAATTGTTAAGTTTGTTGAAAATTGGTGGAAAGATCAATGAAAAATAAGAAAAAAAAACCCAGTAAAAATCGTCATTTTTCGTTATTTACGTGGGTTTTCACTATATGGTTGGACTCAATTAAATGACTGAAAAACAATCAAATTATTATTGGCTACAACTGGGTGAAGATTGTATTAGACTGCTAGAAAGTTGCGGTAGAGTTTAGTTTAAAATTTCTGTTGAAGGCAATTTTTCGCTTTTCGCGGTTTTTCGCTAAACGCAGTGGCGTAGAAATAAAAAATGAGGTATCGTTGAGCTCGTCATGATGTAAGTAATCTATATACCGAGTTTGAACGAAATCGGAGGAAAAAGTTGAATTCATCAAGGTTTTATAGATTATTAATTTTTTTAACAATTACGAATTTTTTTGGCTCAAAATCGGTTGGATCGCTCTCGAGTGAAAAGGTATCACAAAGACTTATGTTTATATATATATATATATATATATATATATATATATATATATATATATATATATATATAAATGCAGTCAGTTATGTGCCATGCGGGATACACGCTTAAGCGATCATGTATCTTTCAATACATGACTGACGAGGCAGATTTTTTCCCGCAGTAGGTTGCCATTTCTTTCTGCGGTAGACCAGTTGCCATCCAAGGCCGTAGAACCCGGTCTGTCCTGCTATTTATCCATAGCCAGAGAGAGAAGAAGAGGATTCATACCTTTCTCAAGGGTATTAGCACGTAAGTGAAAGTAATGGATTCGACTGGAATTCGAATTCGGGTCTCCGATTGCTCAATACGAGCAGCTATCCATTACTAATGGATATATGCAGACAACTTCCAAACAAATAATACCTACTAGACACACATGCATTAATACATACATACATATACACACACACACATATATATATATATATATATATATATATATATATATATATGTATGTGTGTGTGTGTGTCTTTGTGTGTGAAAATATATAGAAAATAGGAAGGAACTGGTTAGGTAAATAATCCAAAGTTCCTTAGTATTTTAGTTATTATTTTTAAAAAATAGTGCTCGATACAAAAGTAGAGCATAAATGAAATTATTTATTTAAAAATATGATTCCAACTCGCGACATAAGATGTCTCATGTTTCAAAACAAGAGCCAAAAAATTCAATATAATTATTTGAATTAAATTGAGTTAAAGTAAGCTCTGTTCCAATTATGTAATTATAGAAACCTAGAAGACTGCCCATTAGAAAATAAATGCTGCATTAAATCTGTGGTATACCAATGTACTATATCATCCACTGAGAGTCCTAGCACTAATATGATATACATTGGGTCCACGAAGAATAATTTTAAAGATAGATGGAGGCACCATAAGTGCTCTTTCAATAATATAACTAAAAGAAATTAGACTTCCCTATCTAAATATTTTTGGCATCTGAAGGAAACAAATAGAACACCAAAAGTTAAATGGAAAATTATAAACAGGGCTAGAACATGTAAAACTTGGGATGACCCATGTCCTTTGTGCCTCCATGAGAAATTGCACATTATTAAGCTTCTAAATAATAATAATCTATTAAACAATAGACATGATTTAACGGTTTTTTGTCGACATAATCAGATTTATGGTTTGAATTATTAGCTAAAAACAAGCATACAATATAATAACTTTTATAATCCATAGCCCAAATAAATAGTTTAAATACCCTACAAAAAAGATAACCTTTTACGAAGTCGTCAAAAAACAAACGTTACGGCAATTTTTTTATATGCACAAATCCCTTTCATAAAAAAATAAAATAAAAAAATAAATAAATCTCCATAGACTAACAAGACTAGAGTTATACTTCTTCCGTTCCAAATTTAGACACCCCCCACCTTTCCCTGACTTGACATCTATGAAAGTTACTCTATACTGATACTTATTATTAACACCCAACACACGCCTACCCAATTTAAACAATTCGCCCTAGCTGTTACCATGGAAATTTTGATTTCAATTATTAAAACACGTACATTTCAGAAATACGTTATTTCAAAAAAAAATTCGCTTGATGATGGAACAGAGCTTACTTTAACTCAGTTTAATTCAAATAATTATATTGAATTTTTCGGCTCTTGTTTTGAAACATGAGACCTCTTATGTCGCGAGTTGGAATCATATTTTTTTAAAATAATTATATATATATATATATATATATATATATATATATATACTATCATCCGTGTCCCACATAGACAAACTATAATTATGATACACTTACACACATGAATTACACACTCTGCTTGACGAGTCAAAAGCACGTTGTCTACTTAACCAATGAAAACGATATATTTATAAAAGTTTTCTATTAGTTCCATTTTCTACCATACATATTGTTGTGGGGCTCTCCCCTATTTACACAAGATTGACTCGTCCAAAGTATACTTATACTGACAGAGAGAATACCTGCTGTTGAGACAGGTTGAGAGATACGGAGACAGACACAGGGTGTTCTCAGATATATATATATATATATATATATATATATATATATTATATATATATATATATATATATGTTTACGGCTTTACTTACAGAGACTTGTACATATACTTTCTACTAACCCGCATTCCTGGACTATTAATCTTCACTTCAAGTCTGTATTTTTATGTTTAATACACTTATTTTTCTCATTTACTGGCGTTGTTTATTTATTTGTGAAGGATTCCATTCACGGACCCCCCCCCATATATATATATATATATATAAAGAACAGTAAGATAAATAATCCGGTGTTCTTATAGATATTTTTATTTTTACAAAATAGTGCTCAATGTAAATTTACAGAGCATTAATATTATAAATTAATTGATTTAAAATGTTTTTTTTTCGCTACACAGTTCTAACCATGTTTCAAAAATGGAAGCTAAAATTTTTGAAATTTGGTTAGAACTGTGTAGCGAAAAAACACATTTTAAATCAATTAATTTATAATATATATATTATATATATATATATATATATATATACACACAGTGAGGTTCACTCTGTACAAGGCTCAAGTGCCACTCTAGGTAGATTACAAAGTAAGAGGCACAGTTTATGCCGATAGGCAAGGAAGATAGGGGATAGCCCGAGACCTGAACGGTAGTGAACGGTAAAATATTCTCTCGGGAATCGGTTTCCCAGACCAGTGGTTCCAGAGAAGAAGCTGCTCGAATGAAACTTACATCTCACCTATGAAATCTATTTTGAATCACCTCTCTTTATACGCTTTTACTCTTCTGTCTCTCTTCATCTTTTTAATTCTCCCTCTTAAAGGTCATTCTTTCATCATCTCTTTTCTTCTGCCCATATTCCCCTTTCACTCGACTCTCTCTCTCTCTCTCTCTCTCTCTCTCTCTCTCTGATTTTTTTTCATGTCTTTTTTTTTTCTCTTCACTTTTTCAGATTTTTCAGGTTTGGTCCGCCACACCTTCTGGCTGGTCATTTGGAATATCAGTGTAAACACAAGTCCATCCTGTTCCTGGAGACAGAATCCAATAATAGGTCCACGGTCTAACGCTATCTACGCAAATTCTTTCCGCCTTCTGAGAAGGAAGATTTGATGATATTAAATACGTTGAATACAGAAAGCGGACTTACTTTATTCTTTTGTTTTCTTTCATTTTTCATCCTTTTTCCTTTTATTCTTCTTTCTTTTGAAAGATATCTATTTTGTTTACCATCCCACGGTCTTCCATTTTCACGTGAGAAGCGACCACGGGTGGCCTTGTGCAAATCGCCACACATGCACATGGCACATTGAGGTCTACACACGGAGCTGTACGCGAAGGCACACAGAGAGCTTAATTTAGGACTTCGCTTCCTTTTAATGGCAACAAAAAGAGTTAGCGAATAGCTTACTCCGCATGCGCAGACAAACACGAAGTGAATAGAGCTGGCACGCACGATTACCTGACACAACATAAACACGTCTATAGTAGGAGCCACACACACACAAACTCACACACACGCAGGGGAAGTGGAAGGGAGAGCAGGAAAGTAAAAAGGAGAAAGAGGAAGAGAAAGAGAAAGATAAACAATTATTTATATCCGCCATTATGGTTTACAGTCACATTTATACAACTCCCATTACAGATCCACATATAAGCATTTACATTTTTAGATTATTTTTTTCACAAAATACAAGCACCAAGAGCCACTCAAACTATACGGTTACTGAATGAGATTGTTGTAGGAGGAGGTAAGAAGTGCATATTATAAGGATACATAGGGTTGATAACGATTGACCTTACACCTGAAGGGGTTAAAATTGTAGTGATCGGTAAAGCATCCTATTGGGAGACTATTTTATAAGGTAAGAGTTCTTGGGAAGAAGTTGTCTGAGAGGATTTTTCTCTCTACTAAAGGCATACGAAGGGACTGAGTATAATTCAATCATGTGTAAGTGACATGACAAGTGTTGAAACTTGACTAATGCATGGAATAATAATACAACACAAAATGTACTTAGAACAAAATGTATTGAAACAAGAAAGTGTACACAATATTTACATATAGTCTTTTGTATATTCCTGGGAAGACCGTTCCTGGAGAATGTGTTGACTTAGTCGCAGTCGGGCAGAGTCTCTGGATTGAATCTCTTGATTTCTCCCCTTTCTTCCCGGTACCAACCATATTTATATGGTCGTTACTCCACTATGCAAATTAGGTGGATCCTACCACAACAACAAGTCCTAGCTGTGATAGTCTGAACTGGTGATTCTCAGGAATGTCGCTCGCCTGAACTGAAATAGCGACAAAGCAGCAAGAGGCTAGCAAAGTTTCGTTTGTGAGAAAGGGAATGAACAGTATAAAAAAACCAGCTTATTTCAGCTGAAAGAACATTAGTACAGCATTAAGTTCTGTTGCAACTAAGGACTTTTTACTTCAATCTTGTGTCTGACTAAGCTAAGCTCTGTGGCTACTGTTAATAATTTGGGAACTTTACAATAGTACAGTGTTTTAGAAGATAGCTTTCCATACCATTAAGATATTGTTGAGTTTTGTTACAACTGAGTGCACCAAATTTGCGTCCTTGGCCCAGACGATTTTTTTAACTACTTCTAATCATACGTAAGTTGTATTACTACTAAGTAATGCTTACTGTACGAGTCTTACAAACAATTATCAATGTCTTGACATTGGTCTACATTGAGTGCCACACACTTTAGGCCGAACTAATTTGAGCATTTCGATCAATGATTAAAAATGGCGTCGAGAACTGTAGGTTTTTCAAACTTCTTCAAACCTGGCACTACTGAATCGCAGACAATGAAATGTACAATATAACATCACTTGAGGACTTCCAACAATGGCAACAATTAAAATGGATAGCATATATTCCTCGAAGACATGGCATGATCAAGATGTTGGCGTTCCATATGACTCAAAACAAAAAGTTAGGAAGGAAGCCGCCTATCAATACAGGAAAGAGATAATAACACTTATTAGACTTGAGAAATTCCAGAAAAAAATAAGAGAAACATTTTAAAAAAATTCAGACGGGAATAGTACCGGCTGTTCGGCCAATTAATACCGAATGTTTGCACATAAGGAAACGGCTAATATTAACGTTTTTTTTTCTTATTTTATGTAACTTTTTCATTCAGGAGGTAGGTAATTATGGCTCTCCCCAACGTCCTATCCTTTGTCACAAGCTCATAGGTTATTAGCAGCTCTCTTCTGTTTCTTTTACCTTCAATATGTCATGTGAGCGTCAAATTTTCCAAGCCTACTTTCCTTTCCTCATTAAGTACCCCAGAAATTTCAACTCTCTTTCTGATTTTAAGTATAAGCCTTCTCCTTGTATCCATTTTCCTTATAACGTTCTCTTTACTGATAAAGTATTTCTCAGCATCCTTCTGTAGAATCACATATCTAGTGCATCAAGTCTCTTCTCCATCTCTGAGGAGATTATCTATCATTCACTGCCATATAGGAGGACTATTACATAACAGTTCATCACTCTTTTCTTTGTTTCTAAGGAACTCTTCCTGTTTCTTAACACTTTCTTTAGCTTTTGGAAAACATGAGATTGTTTCTTAGTACTTTCCCCGGGTTTTGGAAGGCATCTTCCGCCATTCGTTCTGTTATTGATCTAAAAAATTCAGTACTTTGAATATAGACAGTACCGTAAAATATAGGGAATTGGTCGGACATTTTCTTTCTTTACCTTTTTTTTTCTATTTAGCATTTGAGAGCACCACACATAAGGCCTTGTGCCAGACTGTGCTAGGCTTAGTAATGTTCTTTTCCTACACACCCATGTTTACATTTTTAACTTTTTAGCTGTCTCGTGCTTATTTAGTTTTCGTTTTTCTTATTTCGTTGTTGCGTATTTTATTCAACACTCACCGGAAATGCAGAAACAGCACGGCCTTGAGCTTGGACAATCGAATGTCGTGTACAGAATAAAAATCCGACGTAAAGACGATTCCATAAGTAAAAGATTGAATGTAACACCCTGGGTTTTTATTGACTCGACTTGCAAACGTTGAATGCGACTTTCCGATTGGGAGATTCGTGTTGCAAAAAAAATCTTCGAAATAGGTTATAGAGAGTAGAGTTGGTGCACTAAATCCATTCCTATTCATCTCGGAAAATCATGAGAAAAGACAACATTTAAAATATTGAAGATTTTCAGATTTTCACATGAGAAAAGAAACAATTGACATACATGGTATACAAATGTAAAGGCCCTGATTTAGCTATTGTAAACATTTTCAATGAGAAATAACTGCATATTCTCGAACAATTTTCACATTCCAAAGAATAACGATATATATATATATATATATATATATATATATATATAGATATAATTTTAAAATTAGAAACTTGATTTTAATATTAAAAGTCTCTAGAGCTCTAGAGACTTTTAATATTAAAATCAATGGTTTCTAGTTTTTAAAACTATTTATAAATTTTGTACCGCCAAACATTTGTTTATATATATATATATATATATATATATATATATATATATATATATATATATATTATAGGTGCTGTTCAACTTATAATTACATGAATCATTCATACAAAAAAACAAATATAGAGGTTAATGATTTAAATGGCGAGAATACATCTTTGCAAACAATTTCAATAAGTTACACTAACCCCGAACCTGTATATGAATGACATGATCCCTGTTTATAAATTCCAGTTTCATAAGGTCTTTTTTAGTTTTTATAAGCTTTCGTCTGGTCCAACAGACATCCTCAGGCATGGAAATAGATTTGTTCTTGTTTTTTACTTCTCGGTAATAAGAGGACAACGAAAATAGAGATGTAATCCGAAAAAATGCTATGAGAAATGTGTTATTGTTTTGGAACGTGCGGTTGCAACGCTGAGTTTGAATTTTTAATTTTAAGGTTGGGCGTTTTTGTACAAATATAGTAATAAGAGAATTCTTTTTTACTGGTAGGTTTTCCGTCAATGTGGCATGAATTATATTGTTCAGTAATTACAGAAATGTCACACTTATTATCCGAAAGTTGCACGTTGGATCAGTTATTTTAATTTCGATTATAGGTGCTGTTCAACTTATAATTACATGAATCATTCATACCCTAACCCTACGTATAATCAGCAGGCTGTTGCAGCATTTCTGAACTTTTCCCCTGACTATCGTGTCTGCGTTAATCTCTAACATCTTGTCAGCAAATCTCTTTATTTAATCTCTCCATCTTGTGACTTATCTATTCCAAATGCGTCTGCAATCCATTTGATAACTTCAACCAACCTTTTGCTTCATCTTTTATCCTTTCTTATAGCTATATATTCCACACACCTCCATCATTGTAGCTTAATCACTTCTGTAGATATCTCTAATCTTACTCTGTTTTGCTTAAGCATTATGAACACTCTTGGTATCTTCGAGATATCCTTAGAATTACACGTCTTAGTCATAATCGTAGTTTGTTTTTAAGCGATTTTTTTTATATTATTGTACAGTCAAAACAATGCCCAAGAAGCATTCAAGGTAGAGTGTTAGTGAGTAAGTGTTGTAACGAGGAGAAGTCAGAAGTGAATATTATGGAGTTAGGTAGAATAAATAACGGTTGACTAGACTTAAAGCGGTTAGGATATCTGGGAAGCATCCTCTTGGGAATCTGTTTCACAAAGTAGCCGTCCCGGAGAAGCTGCGTGAGTGAAATTTCTTCCTTAGCAAAGGAATATGAAATGAATGTGGATGAATTGACCCTATTTACCTGGCACGGGATTGTGTGTCTTAGCTGTAAAGTTCTGAACAGTGGGAACGAAGGAATGCCGTTCATCCAAACAGTGTTTTTACTTGTATTATTTACATTATTCAGACTACTATCTCCATCTTCATTGCCATATTCACAACGTTTCGGCCGTTGTATGCTCCGTCCTTCTTCAGGTGATTAGAATTTCGAACTGGACCCTTTATTTCGTCCACTGACGTAGATTGTTCTAGATCCACGTACCATGCCTCTTCTGAATGTCTCAGTTATTCCCCTTAACTAAACTCTCTAAGTTTGTTTGGTCCATCACTGCTGTAGCCTGGTATTGAACTCACAACTCTTTGGGTCTAGTCATTGTATCTAACGAACGTCTTTATCCACTAGGCCACATGACCTTGAGAACAATCACATGAAGAAGGCCGGATCGTACAATGTCCGAAACGTTGTTAATATGGCAATGAAGATGAGGATAACAGTCCGAATAATGTAAGTAATGCAAGTAATCATAATACCTCATCTCAGAGATACAGAGGCCGAAACGTCGTGAATATGGAAATGAAGATGAGGATAACAGTATGAATAATGTAAATAATGCAAGTAATCATAATGCCTCATCTCAGAGATATAGACACAATTTTTTGTAGACACAGGTGTCCCTCCTAAAGAGAGGAAGACAGCCAGGAATCGAGAATTCAGACGAGGACATTGAAGAATTCAGTTTTGCAGAGAGTTACGATATCCGGAGAATGTTCGAAGAGGATTCTACACTGTTGAATGTTGGAGAAAGAAAGGTTGAAGGGGTTTCGGTGATTTTGTTAGAATTGCTTTGGTTTTATTTCGTTGGTTGCTTATCGTCACGTTGTGTTATTCAGGTTCGGTAAAATGCGACTAGTAGTAGCTATCGGTTGTCTAAGCTAACATTTTCGGGTTGGGAATTGGTGCAGACTGTAGTATAGTGTGACCACGGGGTTTGTTCAGCGGAGGTGCCTGCAGCGACACCCTTCCATGCGCGACATGGCACTACAAGAAGCCCGATATTATACGACTGTAGATGCCAGAAAAATAGCAATTGATTCGCGAGAAGCTTGTGATGTTTCGTCTTGATGGGTGGAAAATTATTCATTAGACACAAAACAGAATAAACGCTTCTGAATTGTACCAAAGTTGGAAAGTGAGCCCTATTTTTGGTTTGGTTTGGTTTATTTAGTTTCATGGCCTATCAACCTCAATTGGTTATTTAATGCCGACGAAATTTTTATTGCTGGTAATATTTTGTTTTGTCAAAAATCTATTTCTGGTAATAATTTTCCCTTCAAAAATATATTGCTGGTAATAATTTTTTTCAAAAAATGTATTGCTGGTAATATATTTTTCTCAAAAAATGTATAGCTGGTAATATTGTTTTTTTTCAAAAACGTATTGTTTATAATTTTTTTTCAGAAATGTATTGCTCGTAATAGTTTCTTTCTTCGAAAATTTATTGCTGACAATTTTTTACAAACTATTTCTGGTGTTCAAATCTATTTTTACACTATTTTTACATTTATCAGAGGCCTTGCTGTTGGGCGTAGTTTATCTTCTTACCCAGGACGCGGATGTAGTTTATCGTCATACTTAGGACGTCTTATTTTTGGTCTGAATTGACTCTTGTATAGATAGAGCATGGTAGAAAGTGTCAAGAACTTTTTGGATTGGTAGAATGAGCCGAAACAACTCCAGCAATATGGCATCAATAATCCATTTTTGGTCTGATTTGACTCTTGTAAAGATAGAACATGCCAGGAATCGTACAAAAAAAAAACGACTATTTTTTCCAGCATCTTTGGTAGCGACGGATCGTATATATATGAATTCCACTTGAAGTTTGGGGTGAACGACTCCCAACTGCCGTTCCTCATACCAGGAAAAAAAATCCAAGGTCTGCTCGGAGAAGATATAATATTACTTGCTTGATTTGTAAGGTAGTGAATGTTACAATTCACTTCCACCTCTTTGAGCTGCAGGAATTAGGTCAGACGATAGATCAACAATCAGATTCTAATCATCTACATCAATGGTTCTCAATCTTTTATTATTTTTTTTTACTCACGTACCACTTTTACAGCTATTTTTTGTGTGGACCGCACACTTATTTCATTTGTTTACTAATAGATAAGTTTAGGAATTGTATTATAGAAATAGTAAATAGAAATGCTTTATTTTGAAGTAATACTAATTTAATGAATATAAACTTGTATAAAACTAAATTCTATGAAGCATTTATACACCTTACTAAACTAACTTATAATAAACCATTTTAAAATGTGTGAGTAATAAAAAATTAAAATTGTGCAGATTTATTCGATGAGGTTCCTGGAGTTGTTGCTGCTCAGCGAATTTTTTTATATTTGACTCCATCGATGTCAATGAGAGTCGAAGATAACCCCTTTAAATAATTAATATTAGTATTTATTATTAATATATTAAATTAATTTATAAAATAAATTATAATCTATATATAATTTTCATTTATATATATAATCCTCGCCTTATATATCCTTCTCAGTTTTTATTCAACTTTTACAATCAAATCGTCTGGTAGAATAAAAGGGACGCTAATCTACATCGCTTGATCTCGTTTTCTGCTAGTTATAGAGTTGTTTTTTTTTATTTTTACTATTTTAATACGGCGTAGATTAGTATAGAAATTCCAATTATCAGTTGTAACAACGGTTCCGAAATGAAATTGCTTTATGGACTACTATTTTTGTGTGTGTGTGTGTCTGTGGACACCAAGTAATGTTACATGGAAACCCAGAATCTATATGGAAATTATGGATATAGAACTTGGGAGGTGCGCATGAAATTGTCTGCATATATATTTACTAATGATCTGAAAACTTTTGGAGGCAAATCGTTGATATAAACAGGAAAGACGGTAAAACGGAGCTAAAAGTTTTGGGAGGACACATGCAATCTATAAACCATTAATTCCCACTGTGCCAAAAATGGGTTAACTTGCAAATCCTTAACCGGTCTAATGCAAATTGCCGGCCAAAGACATTTTGCTTCTCGTCTGGGTTATTCAACTGATATAAGGACGGAGACAGATGCGTTAACTATAGATATAGAACAGATATTATATTTACTGTTATATTTGTATTTAATATCATATTTACTATTATATTTGTATTTAATATTATATTTACTATTATATTTGTATTATTATATTTACTGTTATTTAATATCATATTTACTATTATATTTGTATTTAATATTATATTTACTATTATATTTGTATTTGATATCATATTTACTGTTATATTTGTATTTAATATCATATTTACTATTATATTTGTATTTAATATCATATTTACTGTTATTTATTTATATTTACTATTATATTTTGTATTTGATATCATATTTACTGTTATATTTGTTTTATATTTTACTATTATATTTGTATTTAATTATATTTACTATTATATTTGTATTTGATATCATATTTACATATTTAGTATTATCATTTTACTATTATATTTGTATTTATTATCATATTTACTATTATATTTGTATTTAATATTATATTTACTATTATATTTGTATTTAATATTATATTTACTATTATATTTGTATTTAATATCATTTATTTATTTGTATTTATATTTGTTTATTTGATTTATCATATTTACTATTATATTTGTATTTGATATCATATTTACTATTATATTTGTAAGCCACTAAGACAGAACGGGGTTAAGGAGTGCAGAAGAACAAGAAAGAAAAGAGAAACATTGAGGTGGGAGAAGAATAGAAGAGTAATCAAGGCGATAGTTAACGATAGCTATTATATTTAAATTTCTGAAGATCAAAGTTGACTGGAAAGCAAGTAGCCGGAAGAGAGTTTCACAAACGAGAAGTGCGAGAAAAGAAGCTATCAGCATAGAACTTACGGTTATATCTAGCCAATTCAACTGTGAATTGATGAGACCTTACCCTCAATCTAATACCGCGGTTAAAACCATAAAGAATAGGCACCATAGCGATAGAGCTCATCGGAACAATGAAAGTATTTATAGAAAAGACACAGGGAAGTTACACTACGGCGGCGGGGAAAGGAGTTGAGCTGAGATACCAGGTCGAGACCAATAATATTGCGGACTCTTTGGATTTTATCAATAATCTTTAAATATACAGCAGGAGCTCCGGACAAGATTTGAGAGTAATATTCAAGGCATGGATGAACAGTACACTTATAATTATGCAAGATAGATTCTGTAGAGAAAATTTGTCTGGCACGACGCAATGAACCGGCTTTCTTAGCAGCAGACCTAGCAATGGATTCCATATATACTTGCCACTACATATTAGCCGAGAGAGCGCAACAAGTCATTGTTATGGAGGTTAGCATCAGCCATGCCGTGGGAGGCAGAAAATGTCTTTCAGATGATTTAAAAAAAAACCATTTGGCCTTTAGATTGAAATAAACACTTATTTGAGGTTTTCCGAAATGTTCATATAAAAGAGACTTAGTCATTTACCGAATTAATTCATTTTTTATCCATTATATTTACAGATGCATGTGTTTTTGTAGATGTTTCTTTCTTTTTATGAGTATACAGTCTAAAGGTACGCGAATCTATACGGTGGTTATCCCACATCAGAAGGCAGGCGCAGGTTCGAATCATGTGGAAAGGCATATTTTCTTTATTAAAGACACTCGAAAAACCCAAGCTCGGAGACAAAAATATACGGTTTACCAAGAATAGACGTCTATTCAAACAGGTGTTCTCAGTAAATACATAACAATAAGCTTTTTTTATATTTAAGTTTTTACTTAATATAGCTTATTTTACTTTTGGCATAAAGTTGGGACATCCAATGAGGATTGAACTCAACTTTCAGGAGTTAAGCAGACGATTACGCGATGTGCAATCTTTCTACCTACCTGTTTATGTATTTATCTTCATATCTATCTATCTAACTTTATATCTATCTATCTAACTATCTATCTAACTTCATATCTGTAGAATAACAATAATAAACAGCACTTACCGGTGTAAAGGTCCCAGCTAGCGTCCAGCTGGCAGACAAAAATAAAGCATGTTGTAACTTAATACAAACCCTGCAAACTAACAGCTGAATCAAGCTGGTATTTATATAGAAATACCTCCACTCAGGTACCAGCAGCCAATCACACCCCAAGCAATGGACTATCCCACTTTAGCACAATGAGATGCTCTATGGCAACATAAATAGCTCTCTTTCTAAAGGTTGGATTATTGTTCACTTAGCTTGCTCCACAACTAAGTGTTTATCTCTACCACGTGATTTTTCTACAATATCTATCTTCATATCTCTATCTAACTTCATATTTATCTATATATCTTCATATATTTAACTTCATATCTATCTATCTATCTTCATATCTCTATCTACCTTCATATCTGTCTATTATCATATCTCTAACTTCATAGCTATCTATCTATCTATTTATCTTCATATCTCTATCTACCTTCATATCTGTCTATTTTCATATCTCTAACTTCATATCTATCTATCTATCTTCATATCTGTAAATTCATATCTATCTATCTATCTCTAAATTCATATCTATCTATCTATCTATCTTCTCTAAATTCATATCTATCTATCTATCAATCTCTAAATTCATATCTATCTATCTATCAATCTCTAAATTCATATCTATCTATCTATCTATCTATCTATCTATCTATCTATCTATCTATCCGAATACGTGTAGTCAGTAAATATGTAGTAATCATTTTTTTTTATCTTTTATTTTTTTTACTAAGTTTAGCTCATTTTATTTTTGGCATAAGAATGGGACACCCAGAGAGGATCAAACTCACTCTTCAGGAGTTAACCAGACAATTAGCTAAAGCAGACTATTTGAAGAGGCTTGCAGTGGTATTAGCAAATGAATTATTCAGCTATTTTGTGGATGGAAATTTTTTCTTCATTCCAAATACGAAAGAAACGCGCATTGATGCTTGTATTAATATTTCTTCTGAAAGAACTTAATTAACAGCCAACTAATAGATACTGTTATGTATGTATACTAAGTTGAAAATGAGAAGGAGAGAGAGAGAGAGAGATAAAGAGAACGAGGGAAAGAGAGGTCAAGAAAGAAAAGGAGAGGAAGTTGAGAGTGTGAGAGAGAGAGAGATGAGAAAAATAGACAAAGTAGTTTATTTTTTGGTCATCGTGCAACGAAATCGATTCAATGATTTTGAACAACACTGACACGGAATTGTACATCCGGCATTTTGGAAGCGAATATCTTCTACAAGATGCCCACTCAACTTCGACACCAAAAGACTATTACCGACATCATTAATGAATCATACCCGCGGTCGAATGGCTTTCTTTATTTTTGTGGTTTTACATAGACTTGAATTACAAATCGATCTATGATATTCGTTTATGTTAGTAAGTATGTATGTATGTATGTATGTATCTGCTGCCCTATCTACTTTTCTTCATATGCATCTGCCTATCGACCTATCCGTTTTTCTTCATATCTATCAATATACCTGTTTGCCTATCTATCTATCTATCTATCTATCTTCATATCTCTAAATTCACATCTATCTATCTAAAGTTTTGGTCAACCAACCTACCTATTTTTCTTATATGTATTTATCTATTTGCATAGAATCTATCGTCCTTTCATATTCATCTGTATATCTAATTATCATCATAGATATCGTTCTGTCTATGATTTTACATCTCATCTATCTATCTAAATTATCTTCATAGCTATCTATCTTGGCACTTCGAAGTGGTGTAGCTTGTCTCACTAGGTCAATTACGACTGAATAGTGAGTTCGTTCCTCATACATCCGGCCTTGTGCGCACATCTAAGCTACGCTTAGAAAATTATCATTTGGGCACCCTGGTCTGGTGTAATGGTTAGCAAGCTTGTATCGCTAGGTCGTTTACGACTAAAAGTGAGTTTGATTCTCACTAGGTGCTTTCGGCTTTGTGACACATCTAAGTTACGCGTAGAAAACAACCATATCTATCTATCTATCTATCTCAGTCTGTTCATATCTATCTATCTTCATATCTTTATCTTCATATAACTAAATTCACATCTATCTAAAAGTTTTGGTCAACCTACCTATCTATTTTTCTTATATGTATTTATCTATTTGCATAGAATCTATCGTCCTTTCATATCTATCTGTATATCTAATTATCATCATAGATATCGTTCTGTCTATGATTTTACATCTCTATCTATCTATCTAATTATCTTCATAGCTATCTATCTTGGCACTTCGAAGTGGTGTAGCTTGTCTCACTAGGTCAATTACGACTGAATAGTGAGTTCGTTCCTCATACATCCGGCCTTGTGAGCACATCTAAGCTACGCTTAGAAAATTATCATTTGGGCACCCCGGTCTGGTGTAATGGTTAGCAAGCTTGTATCGCTAGGTCAGTTACGACTAAAAGTGAGTTTGATTCTCACTAGGTGCTTTCGGCTTTGTGACACATCTAAGTTACGCGTAGAAAACAACCATATCTATCTATCTATCTATCTATCTCAGTCTGTTCATATCTATCTATCTTCATATCTTTATCTTCATATCTCTAAATTCACATCTATCTATCTAAAGTTTTGGTCAACCTACCTATCTATTTTTCTTATATGTATTTATCTATTTGCATAGAATCTATCGTCCTTTCATATCTATCTGTATATCTAATTATCATCATAGATATCGTTCTGTCTATGATTTTACATCTCTATCTATCTATCTATCTATTTAATTATCTTCATAGCTATCTATCTTGGCACTTCGAAGTGGTGTAGCTTGTCTCACTAGGTCAATTACGACTGAATAGTGAGTTCGTTCCTCATACATCCGGCCTTGTGAGCACATCTAAGCTACGCTTAGAAAATAATCATTTGGGCACCCCGGTCTGGTGTAATGGTTAGCAAGCTTGTATCGCGAGATCAGTTACGACTAAAAAGTGAGTTTGATTCTCACTAGGTGCCTCATACTTTCGGCTTTGTGACACATCTAAGTTACGCTTAGAAAACAACCATATCTATCTATCTATCTCAGTCTGTTCATATCTATCTATCTATTTCAGTCTGTTTATTTATCTATTTCAATTTGTTCAGCTCTAATTAGCTAATTATCAGATTGTTCATATGTAATTATCTATCTATTACAGTCTGTCCATATCTATCTATCTATCTATCTATCTATGTTATTCCTTTCTGTTCGTATTGCTTTCTATTGTTATTCCTTTTATAGTATTTCTCTTTTGAATTTTGTCCTTCCTCCCTTTCTTTCTCTCTGTCCTTCTAGCTTTCTTTCTTCCTTTTATCATTTCTTCACACTGTTATTTCCTTTCTGTCTTCCTAATGACGTTTCTTTCTTTTTAAATATCTCTTTTTCATTTTCTTTCTTTCTTTCTTTCTTTCTTTCTTTCTACAATCATTCCTTTTTCTTTCAATGTGTTCGTTATCTATCTATCTAATTCTCGTTTCACCTCTACTATCTATGTTATTCCTATTTCTGTTCGTATTGCTTTCTATTTTTATTCCTTTCTATTAATATATATGCTTATCCTTTCTGTTAATATTAATCTACCTTTGATATACCTTTCTTTTAGCATCTGTCTATTCCGACTCTGGAATATTTCATCTCCCAACTATGATAACTTTTTTGTTATCCTGCTTGAATATGTAAAATTTGCAAAGTTGGAGTCAGTGATTTGTATATACTGAGGCGGAGTAAAAAGTTTCTATTTTTAAAATTCATTTCAAAGACAATATTTCAATATCTGTACATAGATTTCTTCAACCATTTATATGCCATTCTGTTCCATTAACGTTTTTTTTCTTTTGGTCTAGAAAATTTCAGCTTTTAACCTTGACTGAACTTGACGTCTTACTGTGTCATGAGAGTTTTTACAAGCTTCTGGAGATTTAAAATTCTTCTCATTAGAAGAATTTTATAGGAATCTAAATAAGTGGTAATCCAAATGTGCAAACTTAATTGAGTGCAGTAGGACATCCCAGCCACTTTCTACCAATTTCAACTGAGTCTACAAAGAGACGTGAGTGCTGGCGTTGTTCATATGGAGGTTGATTCCAATCATTGGTTAATTCCGGTCTCTTTTCATTGATAGCTGTCTCTAATCAGTTCATTTGGGAACTGTACTTGTAGGAATTCAACGATATTTCTGAACCTGGTGATCCACTTAAGAGCAGGACTTTCAGCTCCATTAATAGCAGCTTATCTTTTGGATTGCTCGTACAACGTTGTACACCGGAAATAAAAGAGACTTAAGTTACGAAAAGACGTCTCATTCTCTCCCCTTTTTACATTTAATGCAAAAAAAAAAAAAAATCGTACGTGGTTCATATAAAAAGATGGGTTAAAATGTTACGTGTTTTTTTTAATCATTTCACTCCAAGCAAGGCAATAAAGCCACTAGGACGCAAGGAGGTTACTGAGTGTTAGAGGATATGAGAAAAATATTCTATTAAGAAGAGAAGGAAATAAAAGAACAAAAATTAGGACGACAGTAGATAAGGATTGATATTGCATATAAATTTTTGAAGATCAAAGTTGACAGGAAGCCAAAAGCCGGAGTAAAGTACAGTAGAAGAACTTACGGTTGCATCTAGCCAATTCATCTGTAATGTGTGCTGCCAACATAGAGAGATAGATAGATAACGTAGATGCCACTCTAGTACTGCGCTTAAATTCATAAAGTCTAGGTATCCCCGAGGATATGATATTTATTCATATATAAAATACAAAATGTGGTATGAGGCCAAAATGGGGAATGGAAAAAAAAAGGATGATTCTCTTCTGTATTTAAACATTAAACTTAGCTAGCCACAATCATTGACCCAAGCATAATACATGACACCAAAAGAACGCATTTTTATTTACCTTTCTTACAACATCCACCATAATACCACAGTGTCTCTATGAAAGTCCTAAGTAGTTCCCATATGTACAATTGTCTGCGGTGGGAGGGGAAATATAACGACAATTTAAAATCTGAACCCCAATATGTATTTACAAATATGAACAAAAAGTATCTATAAGAAACTAAATAAATTTAATCGGAATAATTACCATGAATGTATTAATAGAAAAGATACAGGAAAACTATATTACGGGGTTGGAAAAGTGACTGAAGCTGAGATGCCCGGATTGGACCAATAAGATTGCAGATTCTTCTTTGTATTTTATCAAGAATCTCTAAATATATAACAGGGGCACCAGTTTATATGTGCATGGACGAATGGTAGACTTATAAATATGTAAGATAGATTTTGGTGGAAAAATTCTCTACTACAACATAGTGAACCAAATGACTCGGCTGTAGACTTAGTAATTAATTCAATATAATCTTTCCGCTTCATGTCAACGGAAAACGTTAGTCCGATAAAGCATCACTCTCCTGGAGGTTAGAATCAGCCATGTTGTTGGAAGGTAAAGAAATAAGTGTATATGTCATAATTTTCAGTCACTTGTGAAACGAAATAATTTGTTCAAAGACTTCCTATTGAAAACAATACAAAAATTTATTCCACGCAATACATACTTCTAGTCTACACAAATTAGTGACCTTGACATCAATACTCTTTCTACGCGTTCTACCTTTGACAATTCAGCTAAAAGACAGCAATATAATAGGAGATATTGCAAGAACATTACAATTGGCGGTAGAGCCTTCGAATCGTGATCCTTAAACATATCTAATATAATTCCTGTAAATCGCACTATTTATGGGGGATTAATAAAGTTGTCAAGTTGTAGTAAAAATTTGGCAGATACTAACGTCTTGTTCATCATGTCTTGGCAAAAAGAAGTCTTCTGTCTTTTCTTTTTCGCGCCACTAAAACACATTGACGGAAACAGAATGTCTATCTCAGCTGACAAGTTTTCATGTTATCAGGAATTTTTTTTTCCCCAACTTTGGCTGCCAATGCTTTATTTTCTTTCTGACAATTAAGTCAGAAAGATCTCGATTCATTTCTCGCTCGCTTCAAAAAGACATATTTCTTCTGAATGTAGACGATCGTGGCTCTCTACAGATTCCTTTACTTTATTATTTCTTAATTGCCATGTTTTCTTGGGAAAGTTATTGGAGCGGTTTCCCTGCAGTCTTCTGAACTGTTTAGGAATTTTTCTTTCTTAGACAGGTTGCCGACAAAGGCTAGACTGTCCGTTGTACCCTATTATTTAACCCATAACACACCTGTTAAAAAGAGTTGGGTTCAAACCATTCCCAAGGGCATCTTGTGTGAAAGTGAACGCAACAGCTTTGGCTAGAATTCGAACGTATCCCGCCGATTTCGCCTTCTGTGTAAATGACCTCAACGCCACGTGTACTCCGTTTTACTATTTTTTTCTGGACTTATACAAAAAAAAGTAAAAGCAATAACGAAGAATAGCAAAAAAGATTTATAGAGGTTCACTTATAAACTGAAGATGGAACGCTTTACCGAGTTTCAATGGCGGAGAATCAAGACACTGATGTTTGGCTTTCTTTTTAGATATACAACAACGGGTGATGATCACAGGCTTTGTAATTGAGACTGGGTTAAAAGAGTAAATTAACAGGATCTGCTACGGTTTCTATACCGACTAAGAAAGAGAAATTCTAAAATGTTTTACGACTGGGTAAATGGAGACACCAAGTCTGGGCTTAAACTTTATTATATCATTGATAAATATTTCATAAAATATTCGCACGACATCGATTACTTAAATTCCTGAAAGTTACTTGAATTTTTTTTTTATTTTTCTAACATTAAACGAATAAATTGACTTCTCTTAAATCCTTATCGACACACAAATAACAGACTTTTTACCTGATGCATCAACGAGGATAAGTTTTGTTTTAGGAGCTTGCTTTCATTTGTCGTTCATCATAATTCGCTCATCCGAATTTTATTTTATTTATTAGGTTACTCATACTCAATCCCTAGGATACAAGTGTCGGTTAGCCAGTGTTACTGTAACATACTATTAAAGTAATAGTAAATTCAGATGGGCGCTCATTCCCGACGCATTATCGCTCCATAAGCCTCCTTAGTGTCGTCAACAAACTGAGTCTATAATCTTAACAGAAACAACCTCCAGAGCGACAAATAGTATAGAGTTTCCTCTTTTAGGTCCACTGATGATGTCCTATCATTACGGGGAGAGTCAGTCACTGTATAATATATTCGCCTTAGGTTTTGATATGCTATGGCATAGAGGGTTTCTTAACAAACTCTCCGCTATGGAATCTCTGGAAGAGTTTTCGTAATTATCAAGTCTTATAAGATAGATCTATGAAGGTATTTGTTAATAGTTAAACTTTGGAAGCCCATGCGACCAATTCAGGCATACCCCCAATGATCTCTATTCGGTCCTTACCCTATTTCTTTTTTATATTAACCATCTGTCTCCGACAAGTCTCAGATTATTAGTGAATATTGATGAAGATGATACCAGAGTTTATGAAGTCCTGGGTATGACGATAAACTACATCCGGCAGAAAAGCCTCTGATTGGCAGAGTTTTTCTTAATTGCTGTTGTTCCCATATGCACCCTGACCCGGGGTGGTAGCACCTGTTAGGGTCCCAGCTATGGGAAAATAGTTATCCCCCAAACTAGGGTGAAAACACTATGAAAGTATAAAAACAGATTTTTATCGTAAAAATACTAGCAATATATTTTTGAAAAAAAATATTAGCGGCAATAGATCTGACTTTTGACAAAAACCCTGTTTACAAAGATATGTCAATGAAAGCTGATCTACAAACTGATTTCTTACAAAGAATATATATTCTATTCATACGAACCTATCTTAAAAATCTTGTCACTATTAAATAACGCATCGAGGTGTTGATATGCCGTAAAACAAAATAAGCCAAACCTGCTCTACGACTGATTTCTTACAAAGAATACATATTTTATTCATAAGAACTTATCCTAAAAATGTTGTCATTAAATAACCTATTGAGGATGATATGCCGTAAAACAAAATAAACCACATCAAACTAAAGTTTCTGAACACAACTCCACGAATCTAGATGACCAGAGCCTGTCAGTTGATATCACTTCTGGCCTCACATAGGGGGAAAAAGATGAATTGTAACATTCAGTAGCCTCAAAACCAATAAAGTAACATTACATAATTACGGGAAGACCCTGGATTTACTCATGACATGATGAATGGTAGTACTTTCAATGATGCTCCTTTCTTTGAATGTCTGTTGAGACTCATTACCCCAAGACTCAAATGGAAGACATATATACCATGTATCGCTAAAGAGACTGGAAAGTTGTCGGTACGTTGTACCGCTTCAGAAAGTACACCTTTGAGCTAATTAATTTAAACAAAATGAATAATTCCGTTATTTACTTTTTCATATTTTTCCAATGAAACATGACCCAATGCACGTTTTTGTAACTCGTATGTCTGACTTTTATTTTTTAGAAGCTCTTTGATGCGATTTGGCA